GGGCTCGCCGGCGGCTCCCCCACGCTCCGAGGAGGGGCGGCTGCGGGTTTCGCAGGGTGGTCACTGTGCTTCGGGGGTCGTGTGTACACCGGGAGCCGGGAGAGAACCCGCGCGGGGAGCAGGGCCTGCGACGCCTTTCCAAACGCCCGGCGCCGGCCGACGCGGACAGGTTTTCCCCCCTGGCGGCCCTCAACGCTCACGGCCCTTCTTCCCTCATCCCGCGGGCCAGGCCTCCGCGGAGCCAGGGAGGCCCTCGTGTCGGGGACGTAACACTACCAGACTGTCCCTTCGGGTGCAGAACGCTTTCCTTTGGAGACTCTGCCACCGCGGAGAGGCCCCAAGCTACCTAGGCAGAATTTTTCCCCCTTTTTTTTTTTTTTGCAACGCAATAGCAGCAATGGCCCAGCCAAGGGCAACGCGCACGCGCGCGGCGGCCCCGCCCCTCCGCTTCCGTCCCGCCCTGGAGGGGCGGAGGGAGGCGTGATGGCTCGGCCGTCTGACCAATCCGGGGGAAGGGTCGGGGAAGCGCGCGCGCGCGACTCCGGCCGGGCCTGGGCTTGTGCGCCTGCGCGTCAGGGCTGCGCGGGGCGGGCTGGGAGGAAAACCCGGGGAGGGCCGGAGGAAGGAGCCGGGGGAGAAGCCTGGGATGGGAGGAGAGCGGTGGGAGTGCCGCGCCCTGCCTCTCGCTGCTGCGTGGCGGCGAGGTGGCTCACTCGGAGCCTGTACTCGCACGGGGCTGCGGAGTCCCCGCCGTTTCGCGGCCGCTGTTTTCTGGCAGCATCCGCTGCTACCGCGCCTCAGGCGGGGAAGGGCGCGCGACAAAATGGCTGGCGTCCCTCCTGCGGCGTGGTGGGAGGTGCGCATGCGTCAGGTCGCGGTCGCCGGGCTCCGCGCAGACTCAATGGGGTTACACGCCCGACTCGGGTGGTGGTCGCAGCCCGTCGGCCGTCCGCGCTCCAGAAAGAGGGAATTAAGGAAAAGCACACGAAATTTCCCTGTAAAGTTTTCGAGGCGAGGGGATGGCAGTTGACAAGATGTCGCTTCCCTGGTCGGTTATGATAATCTCACAGCGGCGTGATGCGCTGTAGGTTACGAGTCCCGTGTATCGCGTTTATTAGCGTAGACTCAGATTAACCATTACATCTCATCATCAGGTTCACATTTAGTATTCATCACTGTCTTGGTGCCAAGAACTATTCTAGCATCGGGAATATGATGGCAAAAGAGACCAAATTCCTCCGGCTTGATGTTATATCAGGATCAAACCACAAGTATGTGTCATGGAGTAAGGAGTCAGAGGCATGAAATAGGATTAAGGGAGAAAGACTGAGTATATGAGTAAAAATGGTGGGAACTAGTTTTTCAAAGGAGATACTTGCCAGGCGGTGGTGGCGCACGCCTTTAATCCCAGCACTCAGGAGGCAGAGGCAGGTGGATCTCTGTGAGTTCGAGGCCAGCCTGGGCTACCAAGTGAG